GGCCCCGCCAATCTCCTTCCCCCCCCCCAGCTCCAGCAGTGAGGCCTGAGCGCCTTCCAGCCACCGGCCCACTAGAGTTCCCAGAGCGTTCTCTGCGCACGCACAGGGAATGCTCTTTTACTTTTTAGGTAATTTAAATATTTATTCCAACTTTTCATATGTTTCTGCATTGGGCATTGCCCTACATGCGCAGGAAAATCTCCCTGCCCCCCAGGTGCCCCCGATGTGCGGATTTAGATATCCGCACGCAGGGGGCACCTTCACTATTAGATATATAGATGAGGGTTGCCAGGTCCCGCTGGCCACCGGCAGGGGATGGGGGGGGGGGTTGCCAGAACCAGGTTGGGAAACTCCTGGAGATTTGGGGGTGGAGCCTGGGGAGGACAGGGACCTCAGTGGGGTACGATGTCATAGAGTCCACCCTCCAACACAATCATTTTCTCCAGGGGAACTGATCTCTGCAGTCTCGAGATGAGATGATTCTGGGGGATCTTCAGGTCCTACCTGGAGGTTGGCATTGTCATCCTTATTGAGTCTGCCCCTGAGGACTTGTATGTGTCAGAGGACTTGTACGTGTGAATGAGCTATCACAAATACAAAAGTTTTGACACTTCATAGTATACTTCTTATTCTTATATTCTTATTCTTATAGCAGCCATGAAATTAAAAGACGCCTGCTCCTTGGGAGGAAAGCGATGGCGAACCTAAACAGCATGATAAAAAGTAGAGACATCACTCTGCCAACAAAAGTCCGCATGGTCAAAGCAATGGTATTCCCAGTAGTCATGTATGGCTGCGAGAGTTGGACTATAAGGAAGGCCGAGCGCCGAAGAATAGATTCTTTTGAACTATGGTGCTGGAGAAGACTCTTGAGAGTCCCTTGGACTGCAAGGAGATCAAATCAGTCAATCCTAAAAGAAATCAACCCTGCCTGTTCCCTGGAAGGCCAGATAATGAAACTGAAGCTCAAATACTTTGGCCACCCAATGAGAAGGGAGCACTCACTGGAGAAGACCCCGATGCTGGGAAAGACTGAAGGTCAAAGAAGACGGGGACGGCAAAGGATGAGATAGTTAGACAGTGTCATAGATGCAACGAACATGAAGTTGAGCCAACTTCAGAGGACGGCGGAAGACAGGAAGGCCTGGCGTGATCTGGTCCATGGGGTCGCGAAGAGTCGGAATCGACTGTGTGACTGAACAACAACAAAGTATACTTGAATGGGGACTGGGGTCACCGACCTTCAGATGGGGTCTGGAGATATCCTGGAATTACACTCTATCTCAAAAAGGACATGGCAGAGCTGGAAAAAAGTACAGAGGGCAACCAAGACGATGAGGAGGTTGAAGCACCTCCCCTAGGCGGAAAGGCTGAAGAGTCTGGGAGTTTTAAGTGGAGAAAAGAGACGACAAAGGGGGGGGCATGATAGAGTTTTATAAAATTATTCCTGGGGTGGAGAGAGTGGACCAAGAGAACTTTTCCTCCCTCTCCCCAAATAGTAGAACTCGAGGGGACGCAATGAAGCTGATGGGAAGTAGGTTCAGGATGGACAAAAGGAAATACTACTTTACACAGGGAGTGATTAAATTTGTGGGATTCGCTGCCAGAGGAGGTAGTGATGGCCACAGGGGTAGACAGCTCTAAAAGGGGATTAGACAGATTCATGGAGGATAAGTCTATCAGTGGCTACTAGCCATGGTGACCGAGGGGAATCCCCATATTCGGAGGCACTAATCCTTTGATTCCCAGAGCCAGGAGGCAACATCAGGGGAAGGCCTCAGCCTCTCTGCCCTGTCGTTGGCCCTCCGGAGGAACTGGTTGGCCCCTGTGTGAGACAGGAAGCTGGAATGGGTGGACCACTGGTCTGACCCAGCAGGGCTCTTCTGATGTTCTTATGAAGGCCTCTATGCTCTGTTGTTGGCCCTCCGGAGAAACTGGTTGGTCACTGTGTGAGACAGGATGCTGGACTAGATGGAACACTGGTCTGACCCAGCAGGGCTCTTCTTGTGTTCTTATGAAGGCCTCGGCCTCTGTGCCCTGTTGTTGGCCCTCCGGAGGAACTGGTTGGTCACTGTGTGAGACAGGATGCTGGACTAGGTGGACCACTGGTCAGTCCCAGCAGGGCACTTCTGATGTTCTTATGAAGGCCTCTATGCTCTGTTGTTGGCCCTCCGGAGGAACTGGTTGGTCACTGTGTGAGACAGGATGCTGGACTAGATGGACCACTGGCCTGACCCAGCAGGTATCTTCTTATGTTCTTATGAAGGCCTCTGTGCCCTGTTGTTGGCCCTCCGGAGGAACTGGTTGGCCCCTGTGTGAGACAGGATGCTGGACTAGAATGGACCACTAGTCTGACCCAGCAGGGCTCTTCTGATGTTCTTAGGAAGGCCTTGGCTGTCCAGAGTGTAGGACATGGGATTAGTAGAGATGAAATCTTGTAGCTTTGATATGCATGAGTACCTGTAATAACGTAGTGCATTAATTAGTTAAGCCAAAAAGCTTTGTTTTAATAGAAAAAATAGAGTTTAGAAATCATGTTGCATAGGGGAAAGTAGAGGTGGATTTTAGAAAAGTATTTCTCCGTGTCAAAAGACCTTGAGTTAACTCAGGAAGAGGGCAGAAAGGAATGTGCCTAAAAACCGAAACCATTTGGTTCAACTGTGATCTTTGTTAATTGAATTGCTCTGAAGGACATTTATGGCCCATAGACCTGTGTTAGAAAAACATTGCTGGGGCTCTGTATGTTCCCAGACAGCAATCCTCCCTCATAGTGCCAGGGACTGGGAGGTCTGATAAGAGCCAAGGATTGTGTTAGAAGTCACACCTTATCTGGGAAGCTCCCCATCTCATACAGATGCAAAGGGCCTTGAAGAATTCCAGAAGAAGACCTCAATGCACCTTAATGTCTCTGGGTCAGATTGCTGTCGAGTTTGACTGTTCGGGACCCCATGGACCACATCACGCCAGGCCGCAGTGCTCCGGAATTTGCTTAATTTCATCCACAACACTGTCTTACATTCCAGGTTCCTATGCAGTATTGTTCTTTGCAGCATCGGACTTTCCTTTCACCATCAGACACTTCACTCTTTCTGGGGTTACTTGTACCTCTGCTCTTCCCCAGTAGCATACTGGACACCTTCCGACCTGAGGGGCTCATCTTCCGGGGTCATATCTTTTTGCCTTTTATTACTGTCCATGGGGTTTTCTTGGCGAAGATACTGGAGCGGGTTGCCATTTCTTTTTTTTCTTTTTTTTGAAACTATTTTTATTCTTAGGATACATCATCACATTCATTCATTCAAATTATTTCGTTTTTATATATCCATTTTCTTTTAACTCCCCTCCCCCCGTTACAAAGCTTCCCACAGTGCGATTTCCCCCTTATTATCTTATCTTATTTTCAGCTTAATCCTCTACACATTATAACTTCTTATTCAGGTAACTTTACTTAGATACATCACTTCAGTAAATTATTTTCCCTAGTCCATTCTAATAATTATTAAAACTTATCAAAGTATTTTTACATCCCATTTTTCTTCTACATAGTCTTTAAAGTCTTTCCATTCT